TACCAGCTCCCATTTTATTGGGATACTTTGAGTAGCTTTGCTGGGATTRGGAGCGGGGAGCGGTGTGTGAGCCCTTGCTCTGTTGCACCACACAGGCTCCGCAGGAACTGTAGCTTTGTATCCAGGATGATCTCAGAAAGTCGAGGGGAACAGCGAGGAATGTGGGAGATGTCTCATGTTTAGGACAAGTAAAACCTGGCCAGAAGTTAGTCACTTAGTCTCCGTCACTTTGGTAACCCTGGCTTGGGTCACACATAGTGTCATCTATTGCAGACACACAGATTATGCAATCCTTCCTGTGAAAACATTTAATTTTGTTTTTAAAGCAAGTCATGTTGATTTTCTTTTTTACCGTGGCTAGCAAGGAACACTTGGTTTTTCAGAGGTATCAATAGACAACTTAAGGGGTGAAACAGCTCATGCTGCCCGTCAAAATGATGCAAATGAGGTTATTTCCAGACTTTATTTTAACTGATCTGTGGCTTGGTATCAAAACTTTCAGTGAAGGAAGTGTCAGATGCGTTGATGAGGTAGCAGAAAGCAGGAACCCCAGTATGGACAGCAGCTTCAATTTTATAAAACATCCCAAATTATTTTAATATGTTGGTTTGCCTTTGCATCCGTATGTGTAGTCTTTCACCTTCGCCACTCTCCTAGCACATCTCAAAACCAAATCCAGCCTCTTATTTGAAGCCTGTCTTCTCTCCCACAGCACACGACTCCCTCCTGTACCTCTTAAGACCCTTCTCCCTTTACCTGTCATTGCATCACCCTGTGTTTTCATCTAAACCCCAGCTCCTGGTGCCTCTTTGGGAATGCGTCAGAGCAGGCCTATCACCATGATCTGGTTGCACCACCAGCTCTCAGGGAGCTTGGATCCTTATGGGAAATTACGGCACCAGTTCTTATCTCCGCAGAAACAGAGTTATCTCTGTTAAGCGACGATGGGTGATACTGCGTCGTGCTTAAAGGCAGCAGCTACTGCTCCCCGGTTGCTCAGGGGTTCACGCGGGTGCAACAGGAGCAACAGGCTATACCAGGCTCTCACAGCCATTCAAAACATAGGCTCCCCCCAGGTGGCAATATGCCTTTTTTTTTTTTTTTTTAAATAAAAGGGTCATGTTCCTGTATATCCACCCACTCTTGAAGAGTGATTATATATTAAATTGGGTGAATGCTCAACAGAGAGCAGCGAGATTTACTTTTCGCATGTTCACAGGCGGGGCCAGGAAGGGCTGCGAAGGAGGCAGATCCAAGCCCATACGTGCCGCACGTCTCCAGACGCAGCTGCCCGGTCGCGCCGCGCAGGGGCCCGCGGCCAGTCCCGCCGGCTCGCGGCCATGGCACCCACACGGCGACGGGCTGATTTCATTACACGTGCCTTTCATTACACACCGCTACAGCGATGAGCACCTCTCGCCCACACTGCCCCTAGCCTGCAATGCTGAGAAGAGCCCACAGTTTTATAGGGGCCCTCGTACAGGTTAAGGGCGTAGACCTGTATTCACTGTGTATGTCCATCTCCACAGGTGCGGGAAGACCTGTTGGCCCTGCCGTTTGAACGGGTTCTGCAGCGCAGCACAGCCCAGCACCGCACATCCCAAACGGCACAGCACTTCATGAAGGCTCAGCCCAGCTAGGCGCAGGGGATGGCACCACTGGCAATGAACTGCAGCCTCAAGGGACAGGCGCCTGTGCCACTGGCCAACGCTCTGCCCGCATAAGCCTTTCCCCTTAGGCTAACAGCGCCGGCCTGGCGCTCACACGGCCGGGCCCCGCAGCGCGGAAAGCGCCGCCCGCCCC